GCAGGTGAGCAGACGCCGGGTTGTAACCCGGAGCGGGACAGAGGCGGGTGGACGAAGCAGAGGAATCTGAGCCAGAGAGGGAGCTGGAACAAGTAGCTGCTAGGAGTGAGCTGCCAAGTGGCGGGAGCGGAGCGGAGGGGGAAGCCAGGCGCGCTCAGGTAACTGGAGAGCCCCGGAGCTCAAAGCAGGGCTGGAGCTCTCTCTCTCTGAGTTGGAAAATATCCGTTTAGTGACCTCTACCTGTATTCTGAGGAAGCACCTGTGATGTCCTATAGCAAGCAACTTATTTTCTATGACTGGACTTACCAATGGTTGCAAAGCATTATTATTAATCGGGACGGATCAGATTGTCTTCATCAAGTTGGCTGGCAAAAATTTCTCCCCTGAGTCTCCTCCTTCTTGGCCCAGGGAATACCCCTGGACTGTGCAACCTTGGGCAATATAGTTACCCTTTCTGAACCTCAATTTCTCATCAAAATTTAGGAAATGAATACACGTATATGTTTAATGGGGGTAAATATGTTGAATAGTGCACTATGAAGCAGATGACGTTTTTCATTTAATGGTTCTTTAAAAAGGGGACTTAGGGGTCCTTTTGAGAATTCGCTGTTAGTCTTTTTCCCAGGAGGGAAAAACGCTCTTATGGAAAGTACATTACCCTGGCATTTGATAGAAAGTGGTCGGATATGGAGGATCTATTGCTGAGTGAAGCAATTCAGGCTGTGAAAGAAAGATATTTTATGTATCTACTTAATATATGCCGACTATCCGCACTCTACGGTAGAGAGGGAAATATTGGAGGATATAAAAGCAGTGAAAATAGTTAGCAATGCTGAAGACAGTGTGGAACGGGGCAGAAGAAGAGAAGAGTATGGAGAAGGATAGCGAGAGAATAAATACAGAGGCATGACATTAACCGATCACAGAAATGGTTTATTACCTGTTGGTGATGACGTGTATAGTATTCTCAACTGGACTAGTCTGAAAAGTATTTCATGTTGGGTAAAGTCTTTTTACCAGCAAAATGATAAATAGTGATTGAATGTTTAAAAAATATTTGGAACAATAATAATAATAATCTGGAAAAAAATCATGAAAAGCTATTCGATGATGATGATGGAGAATTTAATGTCTTTGTATTGACTGATATGTATGGTATTCCTTCTGGAAAAAAAAGTGTAATTCACTTATAGTATTCTCAACTGGACTAGTCTGAAAAGGATTTTGGCGAGCACACGCGCCCTATAGACAAACCTCTACCTGAAGAAGGTCACTGTTTATGCAGAAAATGGGTGAACCTTTGCCCTAAAGCATTGTATAAATTTGAGTTCAGCCTCCTTGATCACTCCTGATTTCTACTGAGATAGAGAAAACCGGGAAGAACTTTATGATAAAACTTGTCAATTCCTCAGCATTACTTGAAGAGTTAGGCTTCATGCTGCCAAAGACACTGGAATCATTGCTGATCTCCTTGTGCTCAAAATCATCAATGAGCCAATTGCTACTGCCACTTGGCTTGAACAAGAAAATTGATGTCAAAAGCAACATTCAGATCTTTGACATGATGGCATTTTGTGTATTTCCATCCTCACTGTTTAAAAAGGAACGAAGCCAAGTCTGCACCTGAGGATACCCATTTGAGTGAAGAATACCTTGACAAGCAATGGTCACTATCTCATGGCTGAGAATAAGTGCAAGTATAAGAAGGACATTAGTGAGGACAAGAGGGCTGTTCATGCCTCCTCCTGCCTTCTGTGTATACTCTTTCTTCCAGTATGGAGGCCAGTCTGAGACCAAGTCCTTCTGAACGATTAACAGTTATATCCCTGTTACCCGTTAGCAACTGGACAATCAACAGTTGACCAGGTGGAGAAAGAAAGCTCTACATAGTTCCAGTTAGACACATCACTCATCCTTCATGGGTAGCTTTATCTGTAGTCATGAGATTTATATTTGACAAGACTCCACAAAAAATATAACCCCATTCTTGGTGCAGTTGCTGCCAGGCAGCTTGCCCGCCTGGACCCTCTTCTGAAAGGACTCTGTCTTTCATACTTTTCTCATTGTTGTGGCTTTATTTGCATCTCTGGATGAGTCTCTAATCTTTGAAATCTGAACCCAAGAATGAAGCATTCATCACAATGCTCCCAGCTCCTCCTCATCCAATAACAAAGATCCCCAACTATTTGGAAATTAAGCAACACATTTCTAAATAACTGAGAAGAAGCCACAATAAAAGAAGAAGTCATAATAAAAAAGTAGAAAAAAATTTGAATTAACATAATAAAATTGTGAAACTGTATACAAAGAAGACGGTATTGATAACTACTATTCACTGAGCCATCAAGCCATACTAAGCACTTTCATACACGACTTCAGTTCATTTTCATGGCAATTCTGCAAGGTATGAGTGATCATTTAAAACTTTGCAGGAAATTGTAAAGGATAATGAGGCTTGTAGAAATTTGTATAACTTGCCCAGTCTGCATAGCTGGGAAAAGCCATAATCAGGAGTCAAGCTCAGATCTGTCTGACTTTTGACACTTTCTTTTCACTACCTACTGCTGCTAAGCACCCTGAGACTAAAAAGTTGCATCATGCCAACTCTTGGGTTGTCTAAAAAGTTGTGACGCACTTGTGCTTGGAAAATCAGAAAAATACGGGACCAGCAGTTGGCGTAGTGGCTATGTTGCTGGACTCCCATGTAGTCGACTGCAGTTCGAGTCCCGGACTCAATGTCTTAAACTAACGCTGGGGGTGTGTGCGTGCGTGCCCAAGATCCCAAGAGGAGAATGGAGGAGAAGGGATTGTGGCATGGCCATCCTTCCTGGGGAGTGATTTCTCACTTTCTGTCTCTCTGTCTCTGTCTTTCTGGTGAGTGCACGTGCCTATAGCAAAACCTCTCAACAAAACAAAACAAAACGAAACAGAAAAATACATCATGACTTTCCCAACAACCGAATAAATTGAGATTCTTTTACATGGCAGGAATAACCAAATATAGTGCACATTCATAAGTGGTGTGAACGTATTTGCCTGTAAAACATATTAATGTGTACCAACAAAGAAATCATTGGTAGGAGAATAACTTTCCTGACCTTTCCCAAGCCTGTTGTTAGTTTCCAAATAGGCATACATAACTCATAGAAAAGGTTGGCTCTCTGCCTCTGATGTCCTGGGCAATCCTTTCAGGTTAAAAAGATCTCTGGAAGGACCAGCAGATGGCATAATAGGTCATTCCTGTATACAAAGAAGACGGTATTGATAACTACTATTCACTGAGCCATCAAGCCATACTAAGCACTTTCATACACGACTTCAGTTCATTTTCATGGCAATTCTGCAAGGTATGAGTGATCATTTAAAACTTTGCAGGAAATTGTAAAGGATAATGAGGCTTGTAGAAATTTGTATAACTTGCCCAGTCTGCATAGCTGGGAAAAGCCATAATCAGGAGTCAAGCTCAGATCTGTCTGACTTTTGACACTTTCTTTTCACTACCTACTGCTGCTAAGCACCCTGAGACTAAAAAGTTGCATCATGCCAACTCTTGGGTTGTCTAAAAAGTTGTGACGCACTTGTGCTTGGAAAATCAGAAAAATACGGGACCAGCAGTTGGCGTAGTGGCTATGTTGCTGGACTCCCATGTAGTCGACTGCAGTTCGAGTCCCGGACTCAATGTCTTAA